TCCTGCTGTGACAGTTCCCTGCCCACTCGGTGGACAAATTGCCAAATTCAGCCAAAATTGTGGGTGAGACTGAAGCCTGGGACAGAGCTGACCTGCTGCTGAGCTGGTCCCTCAGGGTGAGCTCAGCTGGGCTGTCCTGGGGAGCTGCTCCAGAGCTCCAAGCATCAAGTGGTTACTCAGTGCTGAGTTTTGATGGTGGGTGAGCCCTGATCTCCCGGGGCTCCCCTGGGCTGCTCTGAGGGTGGGTGCCCTGGCCTCTGGACCCCACCCAGTGTCCTGTGGAGGTCGTTGCTAATACTAACAAATTCCTGTACTTCTTTCCTGTTGCAGATAGGCAGCCTGAGGGGTTTGAGTTTCACTTCTTGAAAAATAAAGTGCAATTAAACCTGTATTTTTTGCTTGCACGGGTTTTACTTTAAAACTTGCACTTGAAAACTGACTCAGTTATGACTCCAAGTGGGAATAATTTGATCTAGGTCTTCTGGGAGTGTTCTTGCTGTTAACCCCCTCTCCTGGGACAGGAGAGACAGTCCCTTTGTGAAGTGACTGTGGCTCAGGCTGTCACCTCGGAGGGTGTTGGTGTGAGAAGCTGTAGTGCAAAAGATGATTGTGTTGGAGGCAGGGGTGACAGGGCTGGTTCTCCATCAGACCCGGGGGATCCCCCACTCTGCAGCCTGGTCTGAGCTGGGTCTGTGAGTGCAGGAGGGTTCCTGCTCAGGAACTGTCCCAGCTCATGGCAGCTCTGCTCTGCCTGTCTCTGGGCACGGATTGGGGTTCAGGAGCTGAGATCTGAGACTTGTCCCTCCAAAAGCAGGCACAGCAGGGAACAGCCACTTCCCCCCCTCGCCATCCCCCTCTGCCCAGGCCTGTTGCTCCCCATTTTTTCTGGCTCAGTCTCAAGACCTAAAATAAACCATGTTTGTCCTCAGTGCCCATGTGCAGGGGCATGTCCTCAGTGCCATGAGAAAGCTCTGGCCTCCATGGGGGGCATCAGGCTCAGGGAGTGATGGACAGGCCCCATCCTGAGGGGGCATCAGATGCTCCTGGGGGGCTGTGAAGGGGCTGGTCCTGTTTCTGGGTGCAGCTTGGGGCCAGGAGGGAGATGAGCCACAGAGGGAAGGACCTTGCTGAGCATCTGCCCGAGGGTGTGTTGCTGGGTGTAGAGATGGGGATCACACCTGTGTCCCCAAGGGGCAGGCAAGGAGCCCCCACCCTGCCTGGACCCTGCTTATCACACCTGGACCTGGTTATCACACCTGGACCTGGTTATCACACCCTGCCCCTGTGTGGGCAGCAGAGCCTTGTTCTCTGGAAGATGGAAAAACAATTGGAGCCGGTGCTGGGCCAGGATCTGTTTAATGTCTCATGTCTCTGTGGGGCTGTGCCCTTCCCGGGGGGGGG